TATGCCAGAACATCTTTATTTCTGTAGCTGTAAGATTTGTATAACCTAGTTTATGTCAGAAAAGTTTTTTTTGTATAGCCGTAGGATTTGTATCCCCCTAGTTTATGTCAGAAAATCTTAATTCTATAGCTGAAGGATTTGTATTCCCCTAGTTTATGTCAGAAAAGCTTATTTCTATAGCCGTAGGATTTATATCCCCCTCCCTTTGTCAGAAAATCTTAATACTATAGCTGTAGGATTTTTATCCCCCTCCCATATGTCAGAACATCTTATTTCTACAGCTGAAGGATTTGTATCCCCCTCCACTATGTAAGAACATATTTATTTCTATAAATGTAGGATTTGTATTCCCCCCTCCCATATGCCAGAACATCTTTATTTCTGTAGCTGTAAGATTTGTATAACCTAGTTTATGTCAGAAAAGTTTTTTTTGTATAGCCGTAGGATTTGTATCCCCCTAGTTTATGTCAGAAAAGCTTAATTCTATAGCTGTAGGATTTGTATCCCCCTCCCATATGTCAGAACATCTTTATTTCTATAGCTGTAGGATTTGTATCCCCCTCCTATATGTCAGAACATCTTTATTTCTATAGCTGTAGGATTTGTATCCCCCCCCAATTGTCAGAACATCTTATTTCTATAGCTGTAGGATTTGTATCCCCCCCCATATGTCAGAACATCTTAATTCTATAGCCGTAGGATTTGTATCCCCCTAGTTTATGTCAGAAAAGCTTAATACCATAGCTGTAGGATTTGTATCCCCCTCCCATATGTCAGAACATCTTATTTCTATAGCTGTAGGATTTGTATTCCCCCTCCCATATGTCAAAAATCTTAATTTCGTAGCCGTAGGATTTGTATCCCCCCCGCCATCTGTCGGAAAAGCTAATTTCTATAGCTGTAGGATTTCCCTCCCCCTCCCATATGTCAGAGCATCTAATTTCTATAGCTGTCGGATGTGTATCCCCCCCTATGTCAGAACATCTTATTTCTACAGCTGAAGGATTTGTAAACCACCTCCAATATGTTAGAACATATTTATTTCTATAAATGTAGGATTTGTATTCCCCCCCCAATATGTCAAAAATCTTAATTTCGTAGCCGTAGGGTTTGTATCCCCCACGCCCTCTGTCGGAAAAGCTAATTTCCATAGCTGTAGGATTTACATCCCCCTCCATCTTATTTCTATAGCTGTATGATTTGTATTCCCCCTCCCATATGTCAAAAATCTTAATTTCGTAGCCGTAGGGTTTGTATCCCCCACGCCCTCTGTCGGAAAAGCTAATTTCTATAGCTGTAGGATTTACATCCCCCTCCCCTATGTCAGAACATCTTATTTCTATAGCCGTAGGATTTGTATCCCCTAGTTTATGTCAGAAAAGCTTAATACCATAGCTGTAGGATTTGTATCCCCCCCCATATGTCAGAACATCTAATTTCTATAGCTGTCGGATGTGTATCCCCCCATATGTCAGAACATCTTATTTCTATAGCTGTAGGATTTGTATTCCCCCTCCAATATGTCAAAAATCTTAATTTCGTAGCCGTAGGATTTGTATCCCCCCGCCATCTGTCGGAAAAGCTAATTTCTATAGCTGTAGGATTTACATCCCCCTCCCATATGTCAGAACATCTTATTTCTATAGCCGTAGGATTTGTATCCCCCTCCCATATGTCAGAAAACCTTAATACTATAGCTGAAGGATTTGTATCCCCCTTTCATATGTCAGAAAATCTTAATACTATAGCCGTAGGATTCGTATCCCCCTCCCGTTGTCAGAAAATCTTAATACTATAGCTGTAGAATTTCTATCCCCCTAGTTTATGTCAGAAATGTATCCCCCTCTCATAAGTCAGAACATCTTTTTTTTTACTAGGTCTGCCCCACCCTGGGTCATAACTTCGAAATGGTTAAGATCTCCAGCCCAAAACTATATATACAATTGTTGGGCATAAAGAGTCGAATGCAGTCATGTTATTAGAAATGACCCCAGGGTCTGCCCCACCTTTGCAGACTTAAGCCCTGGGTCATAACTTTGAAACGGTTGAGATCCCCACCCCAATACTATAAATTCAAATGCTGGACAAAAAGAGACGAATGCAGTCATGAAATTATAATTGATCCTAGGGTCTGGCCACAACCCTAGGGATCTAGTTTATGAGTCACAGCTTGGAAACAGTTGCGTTCCCCACCCCATAACCATACATTAAATTGCTGGGCATGAAAAATATAATACAGACATACTACAAGAATTGGTATTGGGGTCTGGCATATTCCCTTGGATCTCATTTGGAGAATATTTTGCCATGATTGCTTAGATATACAGGTGAGCGATACAGGCCCTCTGGTCCTCTTGTTTATTGCAATCCATTTACTTTCATGCACATCATAGTATAAAAAAGCCAAACACTTATGTATAAATATTTATTATAAATTAAGGTAATTAACAACAACAATCAACAATAAGGTGCAAAACAAGTGATATTGGCACACCGAGTTACAACAGAAATTACCAATCACATGCTTTTTCACATCAACATCAAAATTACCATAATCACAATTAGTTTAAAGTCTTGATGGTTTAAAATTGGAAAGAATAAATGACTTTGTTATTATGATAAAAATGCTTTGGCACAATCTTAAAAAAATCAGATTGACAGGATTTCTGTTTTATCAGTTAATTATAATAAGGTATTTATATTTTTGAAGTTAGAAAATGAGTACTTAGTACAACAAACATAGTACATTGCAGTACCTAAATGTTTACAGTGACTCAACACATCACATCATCATTATGGTCACATCACTATTATAACAATTGAAACAATTGAAATCAATTAGACCATTAAACTTTCAGAAGCATAACTTAGTATAGGAACAATAATCTTCACCTGCAGATGAGTTACCACGATAGAAAGCTCAACCAAAAACCATATCTTTGCATTATTTTGTAATGCCTATCATCCAAGTTTTCATTTTAATTGCAAATGAATGAAAAGCTTTAAACTTTCAAATTTACAAAGAAAAGTATGAAATGAGCAGTTTTGTTTCAGAAGTTTTGAATGCCTAATATGCAGTTTTGCAAAACACTGAATAACTGCTATGGCCATGGCTATTATGATAAAGTATACGCATTCAGCAGAGATAAAGTAAGAAAACGAACACAAATGCCCTATTGACAGAAGACACAATTTTGAACTGTCTGTGATTTTGTAAGGCCAAGGCACTTCTTGTCCACCCATTTGCAGCATCTGTTGCACTGATGACGTCTGTGAACCTTTGTCATGCTAAAAAGGGAGGTCACAGACTGTCTTGTTGTGAGGTGATGACTCTGCAAGTAAGCGCTTCAGAACATGCTTCCTGTAGCTCTGCGCATGGCAATGACGCATGACAGAAGGTGTAGCATTCTAAAGAAATCAAAATCAAAATTCTACTTAAAAATAACACATAGTTATGCAGTCATGCAGTAAGTCATATTTCAATGAACACTAAATACATGCACAGTTATGTACAATGATAACATAAAAAAAACCACTGGACTACATGCTTGTGTGATCAGTTTCTTTCACCTTACAATGTTTAAAAATAAATACAAGCTACAAATGATCAAAGTAAAACTGGAAGTTCCAACTTATATTTCCGTTGATAGTCTATTAATTCATAAAGGTACATGTAAGCCATTTTTTTTTAGAACATTACTACTTCAAAATTGTTGTGCAGGTTTGATGATCATAATATTTCATAACTCCAAAAATGCCTTGTCATAATGAAATTATTACATTTTCTTCTTTAATCTGCTTACCATTAACACAAATACACCACAGGAATGGCCTCTGCTTGCCGATTGGATTGGTTCCTGCCAATATCCCACTGACTTCCATTCCTTCTTGCTGCCATGAAGTTCCTATAATGAAACATTCTTATTGAATTAAGTTTAAAAAAAAATCTTCCATGAGTTTTCCTTCCATGTAGTAATATATGAAATTAACTGATTTTTTAAAAACTTTTAACGAGCCACTTACATATGTATACACTTCTCTGATGTAACAATGCAATAGGGTAATCAGGAATGACACCAATTGCTTTTACTGCAGAAGTAACCTTATGACATCACAATTGAAATATTGACACAACATGTTATATTAGAACATTGTGATTGTCATGATTAAAAAAGGATTACTGTAAAGGGTTTATGTATTGTGATGTATTTTTGGGACAACATTGTTTAGAACTTTATATATAAAAAATATAGCTTCAAATATATTACTTACATCCAATGTCTACATAATCTTTCTTTCCTTGTCTGGCATGGAAGGGAGTCATGTACGCTAACTGTGTTGGTAGTCATTGACGCAGACAACAGAAACCAATGCTGCTGGTGGCAAACTGGCAGAAGCACATACTGGAATTCCTCAAGAGGAATCAGAAAGAAAGATAACAAATTGTTATTATTTGGTTTAGCTGTATTCATATCAACCTTGATTTGTGAAGGGGGTAACTACAAATAATTATTCATTAAAGCTTTCATTTCGGGCTTTTAACAAATCAATTAAAATTACTTTGTTGACAACTCAGCCTTCATACTATTGTTTATGCATAAGTATCAATCGTTATATGTAACTTGAAATGGTTTATAAAAAATTAAGTTCAAACCTCATGGGAAGGTTAATTACAATGAAAAATTGGACTAGTTTGATAACCTCTGTTATCCCACCAAAAATATAGAGTTATGACCCTTTATATAATGTGTTCCCTCAGCTTAACTTTTCAAGTACAGTCATCTTCACTTCTTTCACTACATAAAGGAATACTTCTATTAACATATTCTTATGTCATACTCATCAGATGGGAACAGGCATATATTGTTCTGCCTTGTAGTTAGTTCTCTTGCTGTTAAATTATTTAGTATTTAACAAAATAATGAATGATTGTCTATTATCACATGTTTGTGATATGCATGTATATAGTAGCATTTTATTATTCCGTATATTACCTGGGGATAGAGCCATGCATCATATTGATCATTTTCCCACTTGGTTGCTAGGAAACAGGTAGGACATAGCACCCTCGTTCATTTGAAGCATTGTACTCTGACCGAAGTTAGCTAAGATAAGCATGAATGACCTGAAAGTAAAAACAACATTGTTGTAACTGAATTTGCAAAATAAATACGGACAAAGGATGCAATAGTACAGCTATATGCTTTAAGTTTTAAGAGTTATTTTCAATCAACTTTGTGTGTAGGATAGATTAAATACTTACAAATTGAGATTATGTTAAATTGTGAAATCTTGGGGGAAAAACAGAAAACAACTTTTTTTTACTAAAAGGTTATACAGTACTGGCATAAATGCTTCCACCGTTTTCAAATCTTTAAAGGAAAACTTGTCATGCTATTAGTTGTTTTGTAAAGGGCAATAAAATATCAAGCTGACTTATGGTTAAATTTAAATTGCATTTTTTACAAGCTGATAATTACTTTAAAAATATATTGTTTTGTTCAAACATCAAAAGATAAATGGAATGATTTCTAACCTTGTCATTCAGCCAATGGTTTTGGTAGAGGGTGGTGAGGTCCTGTCGATGTATCGTAACATCTCCCACACGCATCTGGAGGGAGGGCTTTGGCAGCTTACTTGGAGAGTTTGTAGATGTCGAGTTAGAAAGAGGCACACTATCCAAGGTTGGGAGGAGGTCTTTTGGGTTGATGGTACCATGGTAAGCTAGGGTCAGTAGTGCAGAAGACAGCACACAGGGGTCAAGTTCACAAATAAGTTCTAAATTATTGTTTGTTGATGTCATGTACCAGGAAATCATTTCTGATTCACAGTCCATCATGTCATCACCGAACCGGTCATCAACATCCTTGATAAGAAACAAGGTTGGTGACTCTAATGCTGACTGCAGATCATCTGGCCTTCCTACTTGATACTTTGAGCATTTGTTGAACATTTCTTTGATGTTGTTATCAAGCTTGTGGACATAATCTTTGATGCTCACTTCTGGTTCAGGTGTGACTGTCTCCTGGTCTTCCATGCCTTTCTTTCTAGCTACAATATTGTTTTTGTTTGGCCTCGGACAGGGTGTTCTTCCTTTCTTCATTTTCTTCCCTGAAGGCAATGTTGAGAATCGTCTTTTTGGCTTTGCCTTTTGGTCTGCTGATTTTCGGGGTTGTCTTTTGTTTTCTTTTGCTGGTTTCTTGAGATCTTCTTCTGTTGTAGCCTTTGATGAAAGCCTATATTTCCTCATGTCCTTGATGTTTACCTTCTGTCTTTTGTTTTCAAGTATGTAGACTCCTTTTCCATTACTCTCTTTAATAGTGTATGGGCCGGTCCATCTGGTTTGGATTTTATCTCCTTTTCTGGTCACTCGCCTCTTGTTTTTCAGAAGAACAGAACCTCCAGGTTTCAAGAAGGTACTCTTATTCTTTTTGTCATAGTTTGTCTTCTGCTTGGCCTAGGCTTGGCTTATCTCTTCTGTTGCCTGCTTTTTGATGTTCACGAGTTCCACAAAAGAAGATACCCTATCATCAACAACTTCTTGAAACTCTTCTTCTGTTTTTTACAGGTATGGAATGAAGTGTAGAGGGTGTCTTTGCCAAGTGGTTTTGTCTTTGACATCGATCACATTATCTGACATGCTGTTACACATCTTTTCCGAAAGAAGCCCAGAAGTAACGTGTCTTAACCTTTTCCAATGTTCTGTTGACTCCCTGATGTCCAGCAAATGGATCTTCATGACAAGCTTTAAGAATAGCGTTAACTTCATCCTTCTTCACAACTCTGAGAGCTCCATGTTTTTTTGTGTTGGTAGAAGAGGGTTCCATCTTGTAGTAAAAATGGTTTTACTTTTTTCCTGAAGTGAGCTTTTGTGTTAGATTCCTGTAAAAAAAAGAATTAATTTCTTTTTGTATTGTTTTGCTAAGAACTAACAGATTTGTTTTGCGTCATTGTTGACATGAACAACAGGAGACTGTGTTCATATCAATATTTATTGAAAGTGAGCAATGTCTGTGCAATGATGATCAGATGGAGTCTACATGAATTGGTTTGACATGAAGGTGATGATTTTTGTCAATAAAAATATGTGATGATGAGGAGGAAGAGGGGAAAAGGAAGGGGAGGTGAAAACTTGTGATGCAGTTTATAACAATAAAAGTGCTGCTGCTGCTGATGAAGTTGATAATGATGATTGTTGTTGAAGTTGATGATGATTGATGTTGAAATTGATGATGATGATGATGATACATGAGCCGCCGACTGGGATTTGGGCCCTTAACTTCTAGCCAATGAAAAGGGAGAAAAACGGGAATTTCGACAGACGTCATATTTCTATTCTATTTCTGTTTCGCGCGAAAACGGAAATCTCACTTGCTTTACAAGAATGTACAATATAACTTCTATTATTCCCCGAACATATACATATAATGTATCTACTGAAACTAGAAGGCTATCTCTTAATTATTCAAACAATATTATACACTTTAGATATCAATAATTAATCAAATCGACTTAAATATCGAAGCGACAGGGATTTCCCGTTTTCTGGTGCGCACACTTCCGGTAGATTGTTTACATTTCGTTACGAAAGATGCCAGACACGGTGGCTGCGTTTCTTTCACCCAATTTAAAGTATATGTATTGATGTGAAAGTGTGATAGCTGCAGAGCTAGACGATCAGTTCAGTCACGTTTCCCCCGTTTCTTCGGCTAGTAATCGTGCTAAATGTTGACCAGGTTCAGGCGTGTAGGACAAGAGGGTGCATAGTACTAATATTAATACCCGGCCTCCTCTGCCCCGGCCGGGTATTAAATCGATCCCATGCTTTGTTATGGAGCAAGCCCGGTGTGAATCACACCGGGGCGATTTTAGAATTAATTGACAGCACATTGGTCCACATCCATAAATGAGGTTGTAATATAAACTATTTCTGTTGATATCCTACACAACTTGAAGTTAAATTCTGCCTAAAATGTCGTTAAATTATCAAGTAAACGTAGCAAGCGTAATCGAAATCTGAATTCAGTAGTAATACTATATTTGGCCATGCAGGCCATATATAGAAAGGATAATTGAGATAACATCACGCGTGATCTGTCATGGCGGTAGTTTCTAAAAAAAAATCCCATACGGACTTTGTTAATTTCGTAAAAGAGTTTTTGCATGGGTAAGGATTCGTTTTTTCAACAATTATGCAATATTATGATAACATTATACTCATATGAGGTGTGAATTATATGCAATCTTACAGATTAACACTTTTGATTTTGCTCCATTAGTTGGCATAGGACCGCTTCGTAGCTCTGACGACGCGCAATATATAAAAAAATCTCTTGTCGTCAGAAAGCTACGTTATCGCAGCTAGGGGGTGCAGGCTAACTTGCACGTCTACATTTGAACAATGTGACTTGCAGTTTCAAAACACAAATAAGTCAATCAACTAGTCATTTTTTTCTGTTCTTTAATAATATCAACGTGCATTATCTCGAGAATGTGAGGACGCATTTTCTTATAAGTATGATGCAGTTCTTCGGATGCATGAGAACACTTAGTATTAATATTAATACCCGACCTCCTCTGCCCCGATTAAAAAAATCTCGTCGTCCGAAAGCTACGTTATCGCAGCTAAAGAACAAACAGAAGAAAGAAAACCATGCTGTAAAATATGAGCATGTACAGCAAAGATTTCAAGGTATTTAAACATTAAGAAAAATATGTGTATTTTTTATTGTATAATGAGATTAATGACCAAATGCTTTAAAAATCACATCCTGAATAGAAATTTTATAATGGGCAAAACGGGTCCTCCTTAAAAGCGTCTTCAACCGACAACAAGCGTCTTCAAGTGACAACAAGCGTCGCCAGACAAAATCTATAAAAATATCTAATAAGGTAAGCGACATCAGAAGATTTGTTGTTTATATGACTATAATCACCTTTATAACAAATTTCAATTTGATATTTGAAAAAATTGATCGAGTTATGATGAATTGAATTTTACGATCTACGGCGTGGCACGTGTGTGTAATAACATGTACAGTTAAGAAAGCGTCGCTAGACAATATTTTTAAAAACTCTTACTAAAGTAAGCGACATCAGAGGATATGTTATGAATAAGACTTTCATTGATATATACTCCAAATTTTAGCTAGATATATGAAAAAACGACCGAGGAATTTAATTTTTACGAGTGGCGGCGTGGCACACGTGTGTGAATTGAACTCCGCAGATCGTGAAGCGTCTTCAGACTTTAGCTTTAAGATTAACCTATAAAGTAAGCGACATCAGAAGATATGTTTTTCATATCACTATGATACACCTATGTGCCAAACTTCGTATAAAGAAGCTACAGATCGTGTAGCGTCTTCAAACTATATCTCTAAAATTAATAAAAAAAGAAGCAACATCAGATGAAATGTTATTTATATGACTATAACACACTTTTATACCTAATTTCAGTTTGATATTTGAAAACATTGACCGAGTTATCGTTAGATACATTTTACGATCTACATCTACATGAAGATTTACAGCGTATCACACATGTGTGAACACGGTTTGTTCTCTTTTCTCCCACTTGTTTCTAATCAAAGGAATTATATAAACACTGGAAAACAAAAGAGGTGTCATTATAGTCTGTTCTGGTATAGTACAGGTAGATTATTTACCTGAACGTACCTGTTCACTTGTAGGAAATACTCTGTTAGTCATAGAAATATAGTAATATTTACTGGAATTATGAATAAATATATACAAGATTCTAGTTATTACTTGATAAAAACACATCAAAATACATTAACTGAAAACCTGCTTTTATTAATTTCATATTAATCAATTTTATACATTTTTAATATACATTTACATGTATATTACATATATATTTCATAAAATAGAACTAAATTTAGCAAGCATTGTTTTCCAGTGTTTATATAATTCCTTTGATCAGAAAAAAGTGGGAGAAAGCGTTATGCAGTGACTTCTTAGTGGACTGGAAGGTGGGTAGTTGTCTGATTGTGTTCTCTGCGTCGTCGTTCCAATCATCGGATCGAAGCTTGGTTACCTCCTCATCGTAGATTCTGAGAATTGGTTTCACTTCCTTCACGCAGCTTGTACGAATGGTCTCCATAATATCCTGGGCGACGATCTTAGCATGGTCCTGTGGGTGGTTGTGGGCTGGGGATGGCGGCCGTTTCCAGTAGGATTGTTGTTTCGGGTACGAATGGTAGCTGGACAGTTTGGGATGGTACATGCTCACCAGTAAAGTGGTCAGTTGATGGACCCAAGCCATCAGGTGTTAAGATTAATTAGTATCAACTAGAAATATCAGTGGACCTAAGCCATATGGGGTTATCAAAAAGAAACAAAACAAATTATTATGTTTTAGGGGAAAATAATCTAATGAGTGATACTAAGTTATTAATAATTACACTGGAGACGCATTTTATTGGTAAAAAAGATTCTCTGAAAATAATGCTCCAATATGAATTTGTTTTCACCCTAAATTTAAACACAGGTAAAAACCAGGTAAAATATATATGAGACAGACTATAACGCTATCACAACATTACTGCCTCTATTTTTTTTAAAAGTGGGAGAAAGGAGAACACACCGAGCACACATATACAAGGACTTCGCATAGCTGAACGGCTTGTTCTCGTTTCCCCAACTTTTTAAAATAACATGGGGGGGGGGGGGGGGGGGGGGGGGGGGGATGTTGTTAGAAGGATTATAGTATGTTTCTTAGTAGTATGGGCAGTATTGGCTCCAGCAGTATTTACATGTGTTTACCTGTGGTTAACCCTTCTATCTAAGGTGGTGTTTTATCATGTTTAATGTAATACGTTATATAAGTTTTATTCAGATTTGTAATGACAAATGTTAAAATTTAAATTATTTAAATATTAATCATATATATCTAAATATACATATTCAGTATTAAATATAACCATTTTGTAGTCTTTGTGTTGCTGATATGATAAGATTAAATGTGTTATTTCATTTTCTAGTCCTTAAAAAATATTAATATTAATATAAATAATCTTTATTATTGTAACATTTAATAAGATGCCTATATTACCTTTTACAACAGGTAAGAATGTAATGTGTGACTAAGAGTGTGGTGTTTAACAGTTATTTAATCAGTTAATTAATCAAAATTCCTAGATGTTATAAGTATATTATAACTATCATAAAAATCATTGAACATCAATAATTATCCGAGCTATCAGTTCCATCCAGGTGAGCTAAAAGTGATCACGGCCTATGCTAATTACTGAGATGATGATTAGTGTTACCATTATTTTAGCACTCCTTAATTTGTATCCAAGCTGATGATGAATATCCAAGCCAAATTGGTTCTATAT